TCCTGTGTTAAAGGTTGTATGGAAGATTTTTTTTAGTTTCAAACTGTCAGTGAAAGATTAAAATATCATTACAGAGACGCAGCAGCTTTGTAATTATGATGACCAAAAAAAAAAAGAACGAAAATCTATCAACTGTGGACGTGTTGAGGCCAGATAAACATCAGCCAATAGAAAACGAGGCTCCCTCATTTTCTATTGGCTGTTAGGTTGTCAAACTCCCTAGTATAACTGACTCATCGGAGCGCGGGGATTACGTGGTTACGTTGCTTCCTCGCATTTCGCACAAAGTTTGTCGCGACGGCGGACGAGAATCCACGACCGGTTCGCCGCAAAAGAAAGTCAGTTTTTGAGGAAAGAAGAAGAGAAGAAGGAGAAAAGGAGCGAAGACAAACTGAGGTGATTCTTGGAGATCTCGTCCAGCGATGGCGCGACTGAAGCAGACAAAGCCTCTAAAAACTGACGCGTCGGTCGCTGAATTACTTCTAGACAGGAAACTTCAACAGTGATTCTGAACGCGCACAAGGACTGTCGCTGTATTTCTCTTCCCTTAAAAAAATCCTCTATACAACCGTTAAGTCAGTTTTATTTCGGCCTGTTGTTTTTGTTTTGTCTTACAGTTTCTGCGTTAAATGTTCTTTAGAAAGTCAAGTTTATTGATCATTGAGAGGATGTGTTTGCATTTTTATTCCATGGTCATTATATTTGTTGAAATTGGTCTCAAAATGTCAATATTATCGTTTACCGCAATAAATTCTTGGTCAATTCATCGTCCTGCAAAATTTATCGGTACAGGCCTATGGGTAACGTCATCTCTCGCACACTGGACCTTTAACGGTGCGGTCACACGGCGGGAGCGGACGTACCTTTGCGCGTGCACAGGCCGGTGGTGTAGACCAGCAGCAGGAGGGCGTAGTTGAGGAAGCTCTGGAGCATGGGCGTGTCCACCTTCTCCTCCACCAGGTACTGACAGGTGACGGCAGTGCCGCAGATGAGCAGGGACAGCACCTGCCCCATGGCGACGGTCTTCAGCAGGCGCCTGGGCAGAACACAGAGTCACTACACCCGACAGAGTAACACGTCTGAGGTGTGATTTCACTCTGAAGACGAGAAACCAAACTGAGACATAAAACTGAAAGCTGCAAAGAAAAAGGACCTTTGTTAAAATCTGACCCCAAAAGTCCTGCCCCATCGTCATGTGTTGATGTCAGAGAGGAATTCTTTTGTCCGTGGGGCCACATGAGAAACAGAAAATATTGTGGATTTTCGGACCAAAAAACTGCTCAGACTGTGACGAGTTTATGTTATAACTAAACAAAGAAAAAGTGAAGCTGCCGAACAAAAATGTCATTTTAAAAAATCAATTCAAATAGATTTTTTTTCAAAGTCCTTTTTTAAAGTTCTACTTCTAAAAGGTTCATTCACACCAAAGCGTCAAATCGTCCAGTTTCTATGTAAAGTCGATGTGGACGCGCGACTAGAGCCTCCTGCGTTTTTGCGGCGCGTCTTCGGCGTCAGCGCGGCGCGAATCTGGCGTCGACGTGGCGAGTCTTGAACGTTTTGGAGTTGACTCTCTAGACGCGTGTCCAAGGTGTCAGCATCAAGAAGTTGAAAATGCTGAACTTTTCGCGTCAGATGCGCCGCGTCGACCAATCAGGGACGAGTATCCAGAGACACAGCGACGTTATTATCAGGAAGAAAAACCCCAGAACCAGAACCACAAACATGAACGGAACATAAATATAAACACCACAAACACCGAGACCATCACCAGGACCAGACCAGGACTAGACCAGGACTAGACCGGGACTATTCCATGATTAGACCAGGACTAAACCAGGACTGATCCAGTGTCATTAGTGGAGTATAAATATAAACTGGCTCCAGTCGTCGAGTCGATTTCCTCCGCTGATGTTTTATGTGATAAAAACACTAAAGTCTCAGTCTGGTCTGACATTGTTTGGGGAAAAGTCCAGGACCGGGCTCTTGTTTCCAGGGCAACGGACGCACGTCAAGTATTTTTGTCCCGTTCGTCCACGACGTCAAAGACACGAGCGTCGGGGGCGTCTGAACTCAAATGTAAAGGCTCCAAACAGAAACGTCAAGGTGTTTTTTGACGCTTTGGTGTGAACGAACCTTTACTGTTCTCCTGATTTGAACGTTTAATAAATTGTATTGTTTTGTTCTTGGGAATGTTTCCTCAACGATAATATTATATGTAATTATTGATAAATCACAATATATTGTGGGATATTCTGTCATATATTGAATTGGGACATGCACATCGTCATATCATCAGATTCATGGCGATGCACAGGGTTAGGGTAAAATTATAAAATACGACCATCCACCCCTCCATGTTCTTCTTCTCTGGGGTCGGGTCTCGGGGGCATCAGTCTAAGCAGAGACTCCCAGACTTCCTTCACCCCAGACACTTCCTCCAGCTCCTCCAGTCCAGAGACATGGTCCCTCTAGTGTGTCCTGGGTCTCCTCCTCCCGGTGGGACATGAACACCTCCTGAGGGACACGTCCAGGAGACGTCAGAACAGACGTCCTCCCCTCAGACGCTCCTCTCCACGTGGAGGAGCAGCGGCTCTACTCCGAGCTCCTCACTCTGTCTCTAAGGGAGACGCCCGGACGTCCTGCGGAGGAAACTCATCTGTGTCGTTTGTATCGTGGATCTGGTCCTTCGGGTCATGACCAGAGGTGAGGGGAGGAACGGAGACTGACGCTAAATCCAGACTCAGCTCCTCTTCACCACAACGATACAGCGACCGCATCACTGCCCACGCCGCACCTGTCCACCTGTCAGTCCACGCCGCACCTGTCCACCTGTCCACCTGTCAGTCCACGCCGCACCTGTCCACCTGTCCACCTGTCAGTCCACGCCGCACCTGTCCACCTGTCAGTCCACGCCGCACCTGTCCACCTGTCAGTCCACGCCGCACCTGTCCACCTGTCAGTCCACGCCGCACCTGTCCACCTGTCCACCTGTCAGTCCACGCCGCACCTGTCCACCTGTCAGTCCACGCCGCACCTGTCCACCTGTCAGTCTCTCGCTCCATCCTCCCCTCGCTCGAGAACAAGACCCTGACAGACTTGAACTCCTCCACTTGAGGCGGGGACTGTCCACCCGCCCAATATGTTTATTTTGTAATTCCACATGAGTTTAAACGGGCTGAGTCAGAGTCCAAACGGAGCTGGACAAGACTCAGGTCTGATCTAGATCAACCACAGAGGATGGTTTTATATGTTCATGTTTGTAAAATCTCTGAACTCTCAGAGTTTGGAGCAAAACTCGACTTGGGTTAATTAATATTGTTGTAAGTTGCTGTAGGTTTTTAGACTTTATAAACACACACGTCTTCAGCTTCTTATGAAATGATGTTAAAAAGAAAGTTACAAAAACAGTTCTTTCTGTCCTGGACGTTGTAGTGTGGGGGGGTTACATCACGTGTGGGAAATCTAAGGTTGCTGGTTCAATATCAGGAGCCTCAGTGTTTGTAGAACAGTTTGTTGATCTCTGACGGACACAAAACTCCACAGGCGGCGCTTTTTCCTTTAAACACACACTCTGTATAAATAAAACCCTCAGGACGTCCGGCTCGGTGTTTCTTACCATGTGAAGACGTCTCTCATCTTGTAGTTGTTGAGGCCCCAGTCGAGCGTCCACTTCCCACACAGCCTGTGCTCCCGGGGCCCCCGCGTGTCCGGCCTGTGCTCCCGGGGCCCCTGCATGTCCGGCCGAGCTCTGTGAAACACAACCACACTGTCCTCGGGGTGTCGGGGCAGCGGGGCGCTCTCCTCGCTGTTCTCCGAGCGCCCGGGCAAAACCCCAGCAGCTCAGGAATGTACCAGTGTGAGAGAGAAACTGGCCCCAGCGTCTCAGCGACTCAAACCACACGGACGAACAGCAAGAACAGAAAACACCTCTGTCTGATCTGAACTCTCTCTCTAAACTACAGCCCGGCCGATATATCGGTTATCGGCCGATATGCTTGCTGATATGGGGCGATATTTCACGTGGGCAGGTTATACGTCGTTATAAATCTTAGACTCTCTACATTCTGTTCATTTAATCCAATTTACAGACAGATAAATGTCCTCATATGTGACTCTGCATCAGTATTTATCTACGGAGTCATTTGTCTGTGTGTGTGTGTGTGTCTGTGTGTGTGTCTGTGTGTGTGTGTGTGTTGTGTCTGTGTGTGTGTGTGTGTGTGTGTATGTGTGTATGTGTGTGTGTGTGTGTGTGTGTGTGTGTGTGTGTGTGTGTATGTGTGTGTGTGTGTGTGTGTGTGTGTGTGTGTGTGTGTGTCTGTGTGTGTGTGTGCTGTGTGTGTGTGTGTGTGTGTATGTGTGTGTGTGTGTCTGTGTGTGTCTGTGTGTGTGTGTCTGTGTGTGTGTGTCTGTGTGTGTGTGTGTGTGTGTGTGTGTGTGTGTGTGTGTCTGTGTGTGTCTGTGTGTGTGTGTGTGTGTGTGTGTGTGTGTGTGTATGTGTGTGTGTGTGTGTGTGTCTGTGTGTGTGTGTGTGTGTGTGTGTGTGTGTGTGTGTGTGTGTGTGTGTGTGTGTGCTGTGTGTGTGTGTGTGTGTGTGTCTGTGTCTGTGTGTGTCTGTGTGTGTGTGTGTGTGTGTGTGTGTGTGTGTCTGTGTCTGTGTGTGTGTGTCTGTGTGTGTCTGTGTGTGTGTGTGTGTGTGTGTGTGTGTGTGTCTGTGTGTCTGTGTGTGTGTTGTCTGTGTCCCTGACACACCAGAGTCACGTGTGTTTGTTCACACTCACACTCAGATCCAAACACTGAGATTATTTTCTTTTTACGGACAATCGGTTTGAGTCTGGATTAAAAGGACATTTATTAGTTCAGACTTGTGATGGACATTCGATGAAATGTTCTTAATCGATTGTCGTAAGAATAAACGATCGATTATCAATTAATCATGAACGTTTTTATAATCTGTCTGTAATCTGTAGGGGATTACATTTTAAAAGTAAACTTCCCGACGCTGCTCATAAACGCAGAGTAACTCAAACAAACCCGAGTCCAGGTCTGTTGTTTTGAGGAGAGGGAGACATTCTGACGGGATTAAAACCTCACGTGGGTCAGTTTGTGCGACGTGACCTGAGCCGCGACCGCGAGACGAAGACGAGGCCGCGGCTCAGGTCACGTCAGGGAGATTTGAACGACTGAGAACCTGAGTTTAATCTGAGTCTGAGAGGAACAAGAACGAGGATAATCTAAACCAGGACTAAACCAGGTCTAAACCAGGTCTAAACCAGGTCTAAAAACAGGTCTAAACCAGGTCTAAACCAGGTCTAAACCAGGTCTAAACCAGGTCTAAACCCAGGTCTAAACCCAGGTCTAAACCAGGTCTAAACCAGGTCTAAACCAGGTAAACCAGGACTAAACCAGGAAACTAAACCTGGTTTAGACCTGGTTTAAACCAGACCTGGTTTAAACCAGGACCTGGTTTAGACCTGGTTAGAAACCTGGTTTAGTCCTGGTTTAGTCCTGGTTTAGACCTGGTTTAGTCCTGGTTTAGTCCTGGTTTAGTCCTGGTTTAGTCCTGGTTTAGTCCTGGTTTAGTCCCTGGTTTAGACCTGGTTTAGACCCTGGTTTAGTCCTGATTTAGTCCTGGTTTAGACCTGGTTTAGTCCTGGTTTAGTCCTGGTTTTTCTAGGTATTTTTGACTCTAAAACCTCCTATAATTTTACAAATGTCAAGTCGAGCTGTTTAAAGTCACACTGTGGAACATTCCGGTCACGTCTCCATGGAAACAAGCAGGTGACGGACCCTCACGACCAAATAAACGACTTTTAATCTCGTTTTTTTTTTTTTTTTTTGGGAGTTTTTCCGGACTCTCCCGGTGTCCGCGTGCGGCAGGTGCGGCTCTTTCATCACCGCAAACGTACTCACGCACAAACACGCACAAACACGCAGAAACCCGCACGAAACCCGCGCCGGGACACTTACGCGCGGTCCTTACGTCATCCGAGCCGAGGATCCCACGGTCAAATCCGAGGAAAAATCCGAGGAAAAATCACGAAGATCCCGATGTCAACACGATGCACGCGGACATGTCTCCATCCGGGGACTCACTAACCTCGTGTTACCCGTGACCCCGCCCCCTGCGCCGTCAGAGCCCCGCCCCCTGCGCTCCCATTGGTCCGCGCGGTTTGTTGACAAGTGCGCCGCGCAACCAAACTACGGCTAATCCAGTCCAACGTTATTTCTATATTTGCACATTTTAAAGTGCTGCACGGAGTAGGCACGATATAAAATAAAATAAATAAAATAAATAAATAAAATACATTAATAAATAAAATACAATAAATAAATAAAAATAAATAAATAAAATAAATTAATACATAAATAAAATACATTAATAAATAAAATACAATAAATAAAATAAATTAATAAAAAAAATAATAAATAAATAAATAATTAAATAAAATACAATAAAATAAAATAAAAATTAAATAAATAAAATAAAAAAATAAATAAAATACATTAATAAATACAATTAAATTAAATTAAATTGAATAATAAAATAAGCAAGTCAAAAAAAAAAAAGCAAATAACAAATAGAAAAATAGCAAATAATATCCAATAAAATAGCACGCAGTTCTCACGCCGTGTTAAATCCGTTGAGTAAAAGTGTGTTTTTAAATGAGACTTATAATTAAATAAATAAATCGTTATTATTTAAAGCCCCATGTCACACGATTCTCATCACAAACAGATCTGGAGTTGCGTTTTGTTTCATTTAAGCATGTTTAACACACAAACCCTGCATGTTTAGTTCATCTCTCAATTAATTTTTTTATGTATTTATTTATTTTTTATTATTATTTTAAAAACTTAAACCCTAAAAAGTGGACATACATGTAAACTTAAATGAGGCAGATAATTATACACACAAGGAAATCAATGAGAAACTGAGGAACAAGGTAAACATTTTATTCACAAATAACTTTTTTTTTGTTTGTTTGTTTGTTTTAAAGATTAAACCAAACATAACACACTTGAAGGATGCTTTGGCTCCTTTTATATGTGAATATGTTTTTAGTCACTGTTTTTTATGCATTTATTTTATGTTCATGTGAAATATTTACTTTTATAAGGAAAAAAAGAAAAATAATAATAATAAAATTGATAATAATAGTAATAATAATAATAATGTAAAAAAAATGAAAAAAATATAACAATAATAATGCATTTCTTCAGTACAGCCACACTTGCAAGAGAAGATAAGATGTAAGAAATAAAATATAATAAGGTGATAATTTTTAATAATAATAATAATAAAATAACAATAATAATAAAATGTATCTGAAAGAAATAATAAAATCTCTAATAATAAAATGTACAATATTAAAATAATAATAAAATGTATCTGAGAAAAAAAATAAAAAAATAATAAAGAGCGCTTCTCAGGTACAGCCTCTCTCTTAAAACTCTGCAAGAAGATAAGTTGAGGGAACATGGTGACGCTGCTTTTTATGTATTTATTTTATTTGCATATGAACTGTTTACTTTTATAAGGTAACACAAAAAAATAAATAAAATATATTAATAATAAAATTAAATAATATTATCATAAAATGTACAATCATAAAATGTATAATAATAATAAAAATAATAATAATAATAATAATAATAATAAAATGTATTTGGGGGGGAAAAATGAAATAATAATAATAACGGGTTTCTCCGGTAGAGCCACTCTCGCGAGACTCTGCGAGAAGATAAGTTGAGGGAACATGGCGACGCTGCTAAAGGTAGGCTCCACTTCTGTGTTGTGGACTTCTGTCGTTTCTGTCGTTTCTGTCGTTTCTGTCGTGTGTCCCGCGGGTCCGGGTCACGCGCGGGTTTCTCCGTCTCCTCCAGAACCCGGAGCCGCGGGTCCGTGTCCCGGATCCTCCCCACGACCCCCGAGACCCTCACGGCCCCGGGAGAACCTCCGACCGGACCCGGGACTGGAGGAACTCCCCCCCGGCTAAAGCTTAGCTACTTAACCGATAAACATCCACAGAACTAAACCAGGTCTAAACCAGGACTAAACCAGGTCTAAACCAGGTCTAAACCAGGACTAAACCAGGTCTAAACCAGGACTAAACCAGGACTAAACCAGGACTAAACCAGGACTGAACCAGGACTAAACCAGGTCTAAACCAGGTAAAACCAGGACTAAACCAGGTCTAAACCAGGACTAAACCAGGACTAAACCAGGTAAACCAGGTCTAAACCAGGACTAAACCAGGACTAAACCAGGACTCTAAACCAGGTCTAAACCAGGTCTACTAAACCAGGCCAGGACTAAACCAGGACTAAACCAGGACTAAACCAGGTAAACTAAACCAGGACTAAACCAGGAAACCAGGACTAAACTAAACCAGGACTAAACCAGGACTAAACCAGGTCTAAACCAGGTCTAAACCAGGACTCTAAACCAGGTCTAAACCAGGAAACCAGGACTAAACCAGGACTAAACCAGGACTAAACCAGGTCTAAACCAGGCTAAACCAGGTCTAAACCAGGAAACCAGGACCAAAACCAGGTCTAAACCAGTCTAAACCAGTCTAAACCAGGTCTAAACCAGGGACTAAACCAGGTCTAAACCAGGACTAAACCAGGACTGAAACCAGGACTAAACCAAGTCTAAACCAGGACTAAACCAGGACCAAACCAGGACTAAACCAGGACTAAACCAGGTCTAAACCAGGTCTAAACCAGGTCTAAACCAGGACTAAACCAGGACTAAACCAGACTAAACCAGGACTAAACCAGGTCTAAACCAGGACTAAACCAGGACTAAACCAGGACTAAACCAGGTCTAAACCAGGGTCTAAACCATGTCTAAACCAGCTAAACCAGGTCTAAACCAGGTCTAAACCAGGACTAAACCAGGAAACTAAACCAGGTCTAAACCAGGTCTAAACAGGACTAAACCAGGACTAAACCAGGACTAAACCAGGTCTAAACCAGGACCAAACCAGGACCAAACCAGGACCAAACCAGGACCAAACCAGGTCTAAACCAGGTCTAAACCTGGACTAAACCAGGACTAAAACCAGGTCTAAACCATGTCTAAACCACCAGGTCTAAACCAGGTCTAAACCAGGTCTAAAACCAGGTCTAAACCAGGTCTAAACCAGACCCAAACCAGGACCAAACCAGGACCCTAAACCAGGTCTAAACCAGGTCTAAACCAGGACTAAACCAGGAAAACCAGGTCTAAACCAGGAAACCAGGACCAAAACCAGGACTCTAAACCAGGTCTAAACCAGGTCTAAACCAGGAAAACCAGGTCTAAACCAGGACTAAACCAGGTCTAAACCAGGTCTAAACCAGGTCTAAACCAGGAAACCAGGTAAACTAGGAAACCAAAACCAGGACTAAACTAGGACTAAACCAGGTCTAAAACCAGGTCTAAACCAGGTCTAAACCAGGTCTAAACCAGGACTAAACCAGGTCTAAACCAGGTCTAAACCAGGTCTAAACCAGGTCTAAACTAAGCCTAAACCAGGAATGTCACCATTTTTGACTAATCTGAAATTTGTAATATTATGAGAATAAAGTCGAAGCCAGAAAAAGTCATAATTTTACAAGAATAAAGTCGTAATTTTACAAGAATAAAGTCATAATTTTACAAGAATAAAGTCATAATTTTATGAGAATAAAGTGGTAATATTAGGAGAATATCGGCGGCTCGTGGAGAATTTGGAGCATTTTGTAAAGAATCCGTGTATCATTCGTTCATTCGACTAAACAAGGACTGAATCAGAACTAAACCAGGTCCGGAACCAAACCAGAACTAAGACCAGGACTGAGGCCGGGACCAGACCAGGACTGAAAACGGTTTAGTCCTAGTTTAGTCCTGGTTTAAGTCATGGAAATGGGAAATGGCGTTTCTGTGACTTTAAAATGCGATGCGGGACTATTGCACCGCATACGGTCTGAACCAGGACTGAACCAGGACTGAACCGGGACTGAACCGGGACTG